AGGTCTCTACCCCCATTCGAGCAGACATACCGCCCACCCTGCCCCCTGGGTCCCCCAGCCCCAGCCCCAGCCCCAGGAACTGAGAGGCCCAAGCAAACAGTGGGGACCCAGGCCAGGGACGCACACAGGTGGGGTGCCCCCACCCCCACGCTGCCCCAGGCCAAGGCCCCAAATAGCTCAGCTTCTATATTTAGGAGTTCCCTCAGCAGTGCCAGGCAACTATAAATATGGCCTGCTCCGCGCTGCCTCCATACTCTGGGCTGGGCTGGGCTGGGCTGGGCTGGGCTGGGCGGGGGACAGGGCTCTGGAGAATGCCAGCTGGGGCTGGGCAGGGTGAGACCAAGCTGGCCCAATGGACTCTGAAAGCCCAGCCGAGGGAAACCCAGGTGTCCAGCCCGCAGGAGGAGACAAAGGGTCCATTGTCCTGCCTGACCCTGGGGCTGGGGTCAGGCCTGGCCAGCAGCCGCCCACCCTCTTTCCTCGCCCTCCGGGGCTTCCTGCCTGGGGACAGCTGTCTGGCCTCACAATAGCCGTGCCGCCCTCCTGGAGCCAGCGGCTGGGCTCATCCGTGCGGGCCGGCCGGCCCCTTCCTCTGCCATTGTGTCCCAGGCAGGGGGCTTCCTGTGACGCCCCCCTCCATCCGGAGACCCCGGCTGACCCCGCCTCTCCCGGGGCTCGGACGGGTGCTGGGCATGGGCTGGTGGCACAAGAGCGGGCAGGACGGTGAGGTCCCCTCGGCTTCCACACAGCGGAGGGCACTGCAGAGAGGACGGCGGTCCTAGGGCCGGGGTCCACAGCACATTCACCCTGAGCCCCTGCAACGTGTCCACTGCCCCGGGCCCTCCTGTGTGCTCGCCGAGGTTCCGACCATTTCACAGACGGAGAAACTGAGGCCCAGAGAGGTCCTGTGATTTGCATTAGACAGATGGGGAAACTGAGGTTCAGAGAGGACTAGCCTGAGGCTGCATGGTCCGGGACCTCTGCTGTGAGATGGGCGGTGGGGAGGGGGAGTGCCCTGTGACTGTGCAGGTCATTTCACCACGCCGTGCCTCAGTTTCCCCATCTAATGCAGAGCACAGCACCTGCCTCCTAGGGCTCCTGGGATGTACCTGAGCTCAGTCCCTGTGCGGTGCTAGGAAGAGGGCCAGGCATGTAGTAGTAGGTGCTGGGTGAGGGCTGTCACCCACCGTGACAATCGTTCCTGTTGCAGCCGTGATAATGAAAATAACAATAGAATAGAAGAATACTCTTATCTCTATTGGTTAGATCACCCTGGTCAGCCACTTCCTAGCCTCAGAGGAATCTCAGGCTAATATAATATAATATAATATAATATAATATAATATATAAAAGTATACTGCCGAAACCGGTGTGGCTCAGTGGATAGAGCGTCGGCCTGCGGACTGAAGGGTCCCAGGTTCGATTCCGGTCAAGGGCATGTACCTTGGTTGCCAGTGCATCCCCGGGGGTGGGGGGTGGGGGTGCAGGAGGTAGCTGATAGATGTTTCTAACTTTCTATCCTTCTCCCTTTCTCTCTGTAAAAAATCAATTTTATATATATATATATATATATATATATATTTTTTTTTTTTTAAGTATACTGTTATTGTTATTGGCTAGATCATCCTGGCCAGCCACTTCCTAGCCTCTGAGGAATCTCAGGCCAGTGACCCAAGCCCCCGGTGCCCATTTCCTGTCTGACTAATGGGGACCCCTGTCCCCGCCTCACACCATGTGGAACAGAGGTCACAGGTTGTCCGAGGGGCTGCCAGATGGGTCAGCGGGGCTGGAACTTGAAGGAAGGAGGGGGAGTAATGGGGACACTCCAGTGGGGCCAGATCAGGAAGCCCGAGGGGGTTTCCTTCAGGGGTGGCAGCAGCAGGGGTGGGATCGCTCATTGGAGCCTGCCCAGGGCAGAGACAGAAGGGGTCAAAGTCCTGCCCTGGGGGCTGACAGACTATGGGGGGAGGGCAGACAGTGAAAGGGAAGCAGGTAAGTTCCATGCCGGGGTCTGATGAGGTGCTGCAGAGAATGGGGAAAGTGGGGGGCAATCCGGGTGCTGCGGATGGGGGAGGATTACGTACCAGACTCGGGAGGTAGGTCAGGGAATGTTTGAGCAAATACATGGAGGACAGGAAGCTATTGGGGCCAGGTGCTCCAGGCAAAGATAACTGCCCTTGCGAAGGTCAGACACGGAGGAGGCCGAGTGTACCTGGGGTTTTCCACCAGGAAAAACCGGTATCCGAGTGACGGAGGGGGCTGAGGAGGGAGCTGATAGGGCAGAGCTTGAGGGTTCTTTTATTATTATTATTATTAAATATATTTTATTGATTTTTTACAGAGAGGAAGGGAGAGAGATAGAGAGCTAGAAACGTTGATGAGTTGATGAGAGAAACATCGACCAGCCGCCTCCTAGCCGCCTCCTGCACACCCCCTACCGGGGATGTGCCCTCAGCCAACGTACATGCCCCTGACTGGAATCGAACCTGGGACTTTTCAGTCCGCAGACCGACACTCCACCACTGAGCCAAACCGGTTTCGGCCATAGAGGGTTCTTGAGCAGAGGAGGGACGTGCCTGACTCAGGCGGTCCCAGGCACCCTTGGTCCACAGAGAGGTGAACAAGTGTGGAGACAGGAGCCAGGGCACGGACGTGGGAGTCGCTGGGGCTAGCCCAGGGCGGGGGCCGATGAGGAGAAGTGGGGGGACTTGGGGTCCAGTTGGAGTCAGAGCCATGGCTTGCTCACGGGCCCGGTGAAGGTGGTGGCGGCGGGACGTTCCTCCTCGGGGCTCCCCCGAGCTTGCAGCAAACATCTCAGGTCATTCCCAGTGTGTTAGCCCAGTTCTTCCCCGGCCTGCTGGTGAGGCCAGTATTCCCATTCACCAGACGGGAAGACTGAGTCCCAGACAGGTTAGACCTGCTCCGAGGGCCCAAGGCACATCCCAGGGGAGGAGCAGGCAAAGCAGTGGGTGATCATGTGGGCGGTGTGGGGCGATGACCTGGGGCCCAGGCTCCCTGCCCCCCCAGGCTGGGCCTCGCATCCCCAGCTCCTCCAGGAATCGCACCTTGGCCTGGAGGGCAGGTCGCCCAGCCCTGGGGTTTACAGCTCTGGGAGGAGGGGAGGGAGGGCAAAACAGCCTGGCCTAGCCCCCTGCCCCCCCCCAGCCTCCTCCGGTGCTCACTTCCCTCCCCCAGGCCCCTCCCACGCCCTGGTGGGACCCCGTTCGGGTCAAGGGAATGGCCGTGGGTAGGAAGGGGTTAATCCTAGGGATGGGGGCGCTCCTGTCCCTGGGATGTCGCCTCTCTGCCCTCAGCCATGGGTGACCTTATTTTTCCGGGACCACAATCTTCCCCTTTCGAACTACGACGGACTTGTATTTTCTTTAATGTTTCTACACGTTTGCATCCTTGAATCGTTCACTGAAAAAGGAAACAGCACATTGATGTTATCGCTGGCAAACCCTTTTTGTTGCCCTGGGACTCCCTAAACTTAAAATAATAACACCAGGGCCCTAACCGGTGTGGCTCCGTGGATACAGCGTCGGCCTGCAGACTGAAGGGTCCCGGGTTCGATTTCGGTCAAGGGCATGTACCTTGGTTTTGGGCACATCCCCAGTGGGGGATGTGCAGGAGGAAGCTGATCGATGTTTTTCTCTCATCGATGTTTCTAACTCTCTATCCCTCTCTCTTCCTCTCTGTAAAAAAAAAAATCAATAAAATATATTTTAAAAAAATAATAATAACCCAAGAATGTAACACCGTGGCACTAGCTGGATACACCTCAGGGCCACGAGGTGTTAAAGACACATTAGCACCAGGCAGTGACTTTCTCGGGCCCTGGGCCTCTGCTGAGCTGCAGGTTAGCTGTGCCTCAGTTTCCCCCCCTCTACCCCTTGTAAGTGCCTCCCAGGGGTTTCCCAGTCACCGGGTTGACATGGACACAGCATCTGCGGGCAGGCCCAGCCCGGAGTAGGCGCTTTATACATAATAGCATATTTAAAAAATTGCTCTATGGCCCCGGAGACAAGCCAGTCATGTGACTTATTCAAAAAGGAAACAGCTTTCCTACCATGTGATTCTCTGCGGTTCGCGCGATGCCCACACTCCCCTGAAATGCAAGTTTCCCACAGGGGGAACCTCGCCCGCCCACCTGCCCGCCCAAAGGCTGTCTCCGGCCTGGTGGCCAGAGTCTGACTGGCTGTTCCTGGTCCCTGCCTGGCATCCGTGTGGGCACCTCACATCCTGCAGCTCCTAATGGACTCTGAACTCTCTGTGCCTCAGTTTCCTCCTCTGAACAATGGGGGGGGGGGACTGTTAGCTCAGGGGCTGGCTTTGGAGACCAGGACATGCCGAGGCCGTGAGCACAGGGGAGTCTCCAACATGGAAGCCCCAGGGGTCTCTGACGTGGGGATGGCCTCTCCCGAAGCTAAACAGTCCTCTGGGCAAGACTGTCCCCCACCCCCACCCCACCCCCAGCCCGCCCCAGCCCGCCCGGCCCCATTTGCCTGGGATGAGTGCCAAGAGCCCCAGAATTTGTCAGAATTTCAAATGGTGGCCAGTTTGAATTTCTGACAAATTTCTGAAATCAGTTTGGCTCAGTGGATAGAGTGTTGGCCTGCGGACTGAAGGGTCCCGGGTTCGATTCCGGTCAAGGGCATGTACCTTGGTTGCGGGCACATCCCCGGTAGGGGGTGTGCAGGAGGCAGCTGATGGATGTTTCTCTCTCATCGATGTTTCTAACTATCTCTCTCCCTTCCTCTCTGTAAGAAATCAATAAAATATATTTTAAAAAAAGAAAAGAAAGAAATTCAAACTGTGGAGCTGCAGGCAAAGGATCTGAGCGCAGGAGACACCTCTGAGTTGTGTGTGTGTGGGGGGGGGGGGGGGGGCGGGGGGCAGAGCGTTTGCCCGGTCTGAGTCTTCACCGCACTTTCCCGCTGGCTTCCCGCTGCCCGCCAGTTGCAGGCGGGGCCGGGGCGGGGCCGGGGCGGGCCCGCCCACACGCTTTATAAAGAAGTAGCTGCCCGGCCCGGGGACTCGGGACTGCCCCAGCCTCCTGTCCCCCTGCTGCCAGCTCCGGTCACCATGGGAGCTCCCCGCCTCAGCGCCTGCCACATCCTCCAGGGTAAGGACTTGGGGACCCCTCTGGGAGGCGTGAGGGAGCCCCTGGCAGCACCCCTCTGGTGCCTCATTTCCCAGCCTCCCCACGCCACCCCCTCCGAGGAGACATAGGAGGCACCGCTGCCAGCTCTGGCCTGACGTGGAGGAAGCCACATGGTTGGGCGGGAGCCGGGGCACAAGGGGGAGCAGCCGGCAGTGCAGGGTACCCCCACACCTGGCAGGAAACCCCCGGGTGCTCCGAGGGTCTGTCCCCCACCCACAGAGGGATCTCCAAGCTCCTTCCACTTTGGAAGCTGCTCCCTAAGAGGGGAAACTGGAGCCGGGGGAAGAGAGGGGGCGAATGAGTGCTGTGACCCCCTCAGGAAGTCACTCTTAGCAGAGTGCAGAGAGGGGGCTAGGGAGCTAAGGGGGACCCTCCACAACGGGGTGACCCCAACACGTCTCCCATCGTGTGGCAGGGGAAGCCCGGAGACCCCCTCTTTTGCTCCCCCAGACCCAGCGGGGACTCAGCTGTGCGTTAGGGCTTTGCGCTGTGGGACGAGCCTGAGCTCTGCTGTGACTTCCCCCTGGCCGCCCTTCCCGCCCCACCCAGGGTGGCTCTAAGGTTATCAGGTTATCGGGGCAGCTCGGTGCCTGGGCAACCCGGCAACAAAGAGAGTGAAGAAATGACACTTGGGGTGCCACTCGGAACTTCCCCAGGCCACAGGGATGGGGCTCCCTGTGCCCGCCCAGGGTGCCAGGCGTGAGCTGTTTGTTACAGCTTTATCCAGAGGAGGTGTAATTTACATAGCATGTAATCCGCCTGTTGCATGATTACAATTAGATGATTTTTAGTAAACTTTCCCAGTCTGTGTGGAGCTCACCTGCAGGGGGCGATGTGTCAGGGGGCCAAGTCACAGAGCCCCTGATCCTCACTTTCCAGGTCTGTGAAATGGGGCAGAGCAAGACTGGTCTCCCCTTCACAGGCTGTGTTAAGGGTTGAGTCCTGGTTCACAGTAAGAATTGAGTGACATGATTGTTGTTGTTGTTAATGTTACTATTATTATTATTTCACTGGAGGGTCTGGGGATGGTCTGGGGGGAGGGGTCCTTAGCAGGAGGAGCCAGGAGAGGATGCGGGCCCCACCCCTGCCACAGGGCCCCAGGCAGGATCTGACTGCCCAGGGCTCAGCTAGGAGAATGCACCCAGATGGGACTGGGAGCATGCGACCTGCCCCCCTCTCCAGGCTCCTGTTTGGGGGCCTTCCTGGGCCCCAGGTGGGCTCTGGCCCAGCAGCCTCTGTGGTGGGGCAGGAAGGCCCAGCTCAGCACAGAGACCCCCTCCCTGCAGGATCTGGGGAACTTACCCCTCACTTCCATCTTCCCCAGCCCCCTCTCACCAGATTCTCCATAAGCCTTTCCTGGGCTCTGAGCCTCAGTTTGTCCATCCGCAGAGTGGACATAAACAGAGCGTCTGTCTCCTTGGGCGGCTGTGAGCATGGAAGTCATTGGGGCTTTGGGAGCTGGGGATGAATTGGCCCAGAGCCCGCCCTGCCAGGGAAGGTCATTTTGTGTCTGTCCATAAAGAGGAAGTGTGTTTCCACCAAAGGGAGAACTAACCAAACCCTGTGGCCAGAGAGGAGAGAGACAGGAAGTCCAGCCTCAGTTTACTTCAATTGCAAGGGCCATGGAGACCGTGTGGGGATCTTTGCCCTCTGCTGGCCTGAGGGGTATCAAGTTTGGACACTGGAACTGAGTGCTTAGGGGACCCTCCAGTCTGCACCCTTCACAGCTCCCCAAGTTGTGTTCACACTGACAGACCCCAAATCCCCCTGGGAGCCCCTCCTGGGGGACTGGGAGCCCCTCCATGGGGGACTGGGAGCCCCTCCATGGGGGACTGGGAGCTTGAGTTATCCCTTCCTTTGGCCCAGGAGGTGACTCATTCCTGCCCTGTCTCCCTGGCCCCCATCCCTCCACCCGCCGCCCCCATCTGGCCTCCCTGGATTATCTGGGTCTGGGCTGCCTCCCCAGCATCTCTAGATCAGCAGGGACTGGATGCATCCCTCAAGCCCTCCCCACAGCCCACCTGCTGCCCAGGCACCCTCCCTCTCCCTCCTCCCCTCCCTTCCTTCCCCTTCTGTTTCTCTATCTGGCTCTCAATCTATCTCTCTGTGTCTCTATCTAATCTCCTCATTTGTATCTCTTCCTTTCTAGGAGTTCCCTATTTCTCTGTCCATCTCTCTAGTTCGCTGGGTTCTTAACTCTGCCTCTCTGCTTATCTCTCCATTTCTGTGTTCTCTCTCTCTCTCTCTCTCTCTCTCTCTCTCTCTCTCTCTCTCTCTCTCTCTCTCTTTTATTTTCTCTCTATCTGTCTCCTTGTCTCTCTGTGATGTATGGGTCCTCATATCTAGACCCCCTGCTGACTTAAGGAGAACCCCAGGACATTCCCTGGGATGGGGTGCCCCTGAGATGCAGGAAGAGCAGGATTGGGGGACCCATGTAGCTCCACCCCTAACATGAGCCCCAGCATCTTCCTGTGTGCAGGGAGCCAGGCGGGGTGAAATGTCACCACGGGGTCCCGAGCTGGTCCTGTGGCTGACAGGTGTGGGTGCAGTGTGCTTGCACCTGTGCCCCTGAGGAGGGGTGTGGCCGGAGCACCTTAGCTTTGGGAGATCTGAGAGGACAGCTGGCCCAACCCCTTCATTTTTACATAAAGAAATGAGGGCAGCAAGCACTCTGACACACCAGGCAGTACTTGTGTGCTTGACTCTCACACTCTAGGGAAAGGCCCCCTCCTCATCCCCATTCTACAGAAGGGGAAACTGAGGCACTGACCAGGGTCTGGGAGTAGAGCCAAGGCCACCTGGCTCCAGTATGTCTCCTGAACTGCTGCCCACAGGTCAGCAGAAGCCAAGACCCCTGCCAGGCTCGGCCCCTCCCCCTCCCTCAGTGCCTGAAGCCCCCTCAGGCGATGGGAGCGGACCCTCTGGCCAGGGGCACTGGAGGCCAGGGAGGTGCCACCGGCACTCTCGCCTTGAGAATGGACAGAGCCCGAGCCTGGAGGGGAGAGCAGCCCCTTCCCTCAGATGTGTCCCCCTCAGGCCTCCCTCCCTGTTCTGTGTCCTCCTGACCCCCATCTCTCTGTTCCAGGGCTGTGTGTCTTGCTGATTCTGTTGGAAGATGGACCCCAGAGCACCAGGGGTGAGTCTGCTGGGAGTAACTCCGTCCACAGCCAGTCCCATCCCCCACCTGCACCTCTCAGCCCAGGCAGGGAGAGGCCTGCTGCAGGGGAAGCTCAGGGTTGCTCCTCAAAACACCCCTCCCAGCCTCTGGCTCAGCCTCATCTTCTGACCATAATCTCTGTCCCACAGCCTCTGCGTGTCCCCAGAAGTGCCCTCCAGACTCCTCATGTATCAATGGCACTGCCTGTCGCTGTAACCCAGGATTCCAATCTTCATCTGGAAAGACTGAAGTCAGCCGAAGGGATATTTGTGAAGGTACAGAGGCTTGGGCGGTGGAGGGCTACATGGCGATGGAATGGTGGTTGGTGGCCTCAGCCTTTGTGCTCAGACCATCATGAAGGACAGAGAAAAGAGAAAGAAAAAGACATGAAGGTGGAAAGTGAGAAGTGAATGAACACGGCTTCGTACAGAGGGAGGAGCTGGGTCTCTAGGAGTCTGGAACCTGTGCCTCAGTTTACCCTTCCAGGCCTGGGGAGGGGGATGCAGAGCTTCCACCCTCCCACCATGTCAGCTCTGGCTCCTGGATCCAAATCCAGGTGACAGGCAGAAAGCTGAGCGGAGCAGAGCCGATTGGGTGGGTTTCAGGAGTGGCTTGCTCCAGCTGCAGCAGTGTTGTCTGAGTCTAATTATTTCCCAAAAGACACTGACTGAGCTTCAGGCTGCATGCTGGGCATGGGACCAGGCTCTCTGCCCTGAGGGCACTCATGGCTTTGGGAGGTGACCCTTTATCCCGTTTTGTTGCAGACATTGACGAATGTAAACAACCCGCAAAAGTAACCTGTGGAAACCCCGCAGACTGCCATAACACGAAGGGGGGCTTCTACTGCACATGCAGCCCCGGATACAGCCTTCTTTCTGGGGAAACAAAGTTCCGTAATGCGAGTGAGAACACGTGCCAAGGTAAGAATGACCTGCACCTTCCGTCTCCCCGCCCATGAGGTTTGGAGTCCCCAGAGCCATTCCTACAGCACACAGGGTGCCGGGCCCTGGTCCAAGTGCAGCCCCAGGTCTGAGTGGGGACAAGTGTGCCTGTGCCTGTCCCACTAGCACGGAGAGGCGGGTGGCCTTTGAGCCAGGACCCAAGTCCTGGTACAGCTACCTGGGCATGCAGCAACTGCCAGGACACTTGTTACTCAGAAATCACCGGGAATATTACTGTGGTTTTGTGTAAAAGGAGAAAGAGAAAGGGGGAGGGAGGAAGAGAGGGAAAGTGCCCATCTTTCACAGATAAAAACAAAAGAAGCTTTTCCTTTTGTCAATTGTATGACCTTGGACACGTGCTTCGCCTCTCTGTGCCTCGGTTTACCCACCTGTAAAAGGGAGAGGCAGTGGTGCTTACCTCACGGAATTGCTGGGAAGCATATGAGATCATAGAGCACACACAGTGTGGCTGCTGGGTTTTTAGACTGCACTCACTCTGATCTCGCACACCCTCTCCGTGGCTACGCAGGACAGCTGGCCTGGCCCAGCCCCTCACCAGGGACCCCGGAGGAGCCAGGCCTTCAGGCGTCACCAGGCTTTGCCCCCTTTCCAGGGAGAGCCGGTGGGCAGGGGAGGGAGGAGGAGGCTGAGCTGCGTGAGGAGGGAGGTGGCGGCCTCCTGGAGGGAGGGAAAGGGGCACCTGCTCCTGCCCGGAGCCCAGGGGGAGGGCTCCATCCTCGGCTGGTCCCCAAGGGCCTCAGTGGGGGGATGTTATGTAACCTGGGCCCGGGGCGCAGCCTGCATGTGAACCGGAACCATGCCCCCTGCCTCCAGGTGAACACGTGTGTTTGGGGAAGGAGAGTGAGCTGGTGGTCAGTTGCCTCCTTGAGCCGCCTGCACAGCTGCAGCGGTGGCCACGGGCCCCATCAGCAGCCACGGGCCCCATCAGCAGCCACGGGCCCCATCAGCAGCCACGGGCCCCATCAGCAGCCACGGGCCCCATCAGCGTGCCTGCACACAGGCGGTGCGTGTGGCTGCTCCGGGAACAGGCCCGGCTGAGAGGTAGGGCCAGAGCTGCTGGGCAGGGACCTGGCCGAACAAGAGTGAGGTGGCAGAGGAGGCATCCCAGGGAGAGAGCTGCCTGCAGGTTTGGATCAGCACCTGCCGCCTGAAGACCTGGCTTTGTGACAGGTTCCGCCGGGCCGTCTGTCCGCCCGTCCGCCCGTCCGTGCACCTGCCCACCACAGCATTCCAGCCTTCACCACACCCACGGACACGTCTGCCTGCATCATGGCCCCTGAGGTCTGCTTTGAGCCGGAGACCTGGGATCCCTTCCTCGGCTGCTCACCCCTCTTTCTCCAGACGTCAAAGGGCCGTCCCAGGCACCTGTCTGGTCTCCCAACCCTCTGTGGACCGCAAGGCTCAGAACCCTCTGCAGAGGCTGACCCAGAAGTTCGGGGCCTGCTCCCCTGGCGTCTTATCGCATAAAGCTAATGAGCGTGGCAGTCAGGATTCTTCAAGAGCTCAAGGCACAGTGCATTCCAGAGCAATATCGCCCTCTTCCCCGCCGCCAGGGCCTGCTGGGATGGGACCTGATGCCACCGGAGCCCACACAGGGGCTCATCGTGGCCCATCATGGCCTGGGACCCTCCTCAAGAAAACTGCCTCTGGCCCCCCAGCCCCAGCTGGAGAAGCTGCCTCCTGACCCCAATTCTCAGCCACTCGGCCTCCATCTATCCCCCGAGCAAGCGCCCACCCTGGCCCTCCCCAGTAACTTCCGTCCTCAGGACTGTGGGCAGCTTGAGGACCGGGATCCGGACGGGTCACATGTCGGGGGTGGGCCGGCCCCAAGCCCTGGGAGTTGGGTGAAGGAAGAGGCTCCCACCTGGACCAGGTGACAAGAGGCGCCATCGGGGACCATTGCCCCAGGAGGTCCACGCAGGTGCCACCGGGGGACAGAAGACGGAGGCTGTGTCCCTGGTGGGAGAACAAGGAGCCCGATGACAGACACGCCTGCCACTCTTCACTCATCAGCCCCTGCGCCTGCTCCAGGCACCCAGCCTGGCCCACTGCTGGCCTTGCTCACATGTGGATTCTCATCAGTCCCTGCCAGTCCTGGGAATGCCTTCAGGGGGGTCAGAAGGGACACCTGCACACCCCAAGGCTGCACTGCCCTCATGGCCTGGCACCCGCTGACCTGGCCTGCCTGGCATCAAGTTCACATTCCAGACCCCGGCCTAAAAGCCTTGTCCGCGAGGGGTCAGGCTCAGGGCTGGCTCTCGGTCCCTCTCCATGGGCTGGAGTCTCAGAAGTCGTGTGGATGGGAGAGCGCTGTCTCAGCAGAGACACCAGGATCCAAGGAGAGCTCAGCCAACAGCACCACCGGGGGAGTCAGGACCAAGGCCACCGAAACGAGCCTGCTCAGGCCCACAGCACCTCTCCCACACTTGGTCCCAGGGAGGCCCAGCCTGGCCTTTGCTGCCCCTGCCCTAGCCGGGAGCTGCCCGGGGAGGAGGTGATGGTAGAGAGAGTCCGAGGGAGGATGTAGGCCGCTTCTGGCCACATCTGGACAACAGAGCGTCTAGGCCACCATGCTTACCCACAGGACACCTCCATCTGATAAGAAAAGGCACCACTCACTGGGAGGAGGCAGTGCGGCCCTTCTGGACGCTTCTGTGGCAGGAAACGTGGCTGACTCCCAGGCTGCAGGCATCCACCACCCTCTCCTTCCCCTTGCAGACATGGACGAATGTCAGTGGAACCCTGGAATCTGCAAAAGTCGCAGCATCTGTGTCAACACCCATGGCAGCTACACCTGCACGTGCCTGCCAGGATTTGAGCTGAACCCGGAGGACCCGAAGCTGTGCAGAGGTAGAGGCCCGGGAGGAGGCTGGACTGGATGGAGCGGGGAAGGAGCCACGCAGGTCCCGCGGCCCCAGGAGGCAGGAGAAGACCCCCAGGCTCCCTGCCAAGGCCTGGGATTTGTCTAAGGATTCGCCTCCCTGAAAGGTCCTGCCACAGAGCAGGCGGTGGCAGGGCCTTCTGGGTCTGGGGTTTCCTTGTGGAGCCCCTGTGAGCACCCGCCCCTTCCCTTCCCTCAGCTGTCACATGCAGCAGAGGGAGGTGTGGCCTCTGGCTCCCAGAAGGGAAACAGGCCCGGGGCCCAGGAGGGAGCAGGCAGGAGTCCTTGGCCAAGAAACCTGGTCCCGTGACTCAGTTTCCCTCCTGGATTTGCCACCTATAAACTGGACACTATGGTTCCTGTCATGTCCATACCGTAATGTGCTTTGAAGGAGAAGTTGAAGGTCACCAGGTGGTGGCATGTGTGCTCAGGCACTGAGGAGTGGGTGCAGGGAGGGCCTGACCTCTGACTTTGTCCTCAGATGTGAATGAATGCACCTCAGGGCAAAAGCCCTGCCACAAAACCACCCACTGCGTCAACAAAGTGGGCAGCTATCGGTGCCACTGCCGCCCTGGCTGGAAGCCGGTTCCTGGGTCCCCCAATGGCCCAAACAACACCGTCTGTGAAGGTTCGGAGTTCAGATCCCATAAGTGAACCACATCTTCTTTACTTGGCTGAGCCATGTTAAAGGAAGCTGCCATAAGGGTTTGGCAGAGAAGGGGCAGCACTGTCAGCGATGGTGTGTGAGGAGAGGGCACCTGGGCCGGGCAGGGCTGAGCATCAGATTCTGTTCTCTTTTGCTTTTTTTTTTAGAAAGGGAGAGGGAGAGGGAAAGGGAGAGGGAGAGGGAGAGGGAGAGGGAGAGGGAGAGGGAGAGGGAGAGAGAGAGAGAGAGAGAGAGAGAGAGAGAGAGAGAGAGAGAGAGAGAGAGAGAAACATCAGTGAGAGAGTCATTGATCAGCTGCCTCCTGCATGCCTCCTACTGGGGATTGAGCCCGCAACCCGGGCATGTGCCCTCGACCGGAATCGAACCTGGGACCCTTCAGTCCACAGGCCGATGCTCTATCCACTGAGCCAAACCGGCTAGGGCTCGGATTCTGTTCTAATAAGGACAGGAGTGCAGCTCTGGGCGCAGCAGTGCCACAGCCCACAGCCCACAGCCTCACACGTGGGAGCTATCGGTGTGGCAGCCTCCCTGGTTAGAGGTCCATCACAGGTCCTCCCCAGTCCATCCTGCCCTGAGATTGCACTTGTACACACAGCCCTGCCATGTCCACCTGGCAGGGGCGCTCTGAGTGGAAAATGTCACCACAAGTTTGAATCCTGTCAGGCTAGGTCCTGGTAAGCGGGGTGTTGTGGGGTGTCCTCGATGTGAACTGCTAAGGAGTTTAAGAGAAGGGGCAGGAGCCGAAACCGGTTTGGCTCATGGATAGAGTGTCGGTCTGCAGACTGAAGGGTCCCAGGTTCGATTCCGGTCAAGGGCATGTACGTTGATTGTGGGCACATCCCCGGTAGGAGGTGTGCAGGAGGCAGCTGATGGATGTTTCTATCTCATTGATGTTTCTAGCTCTCCATCCCTCTCCCTTCCAATCTGTGAAAAATCAATAAAATATACTTAAAGAGAGAGAGAGAGAGAGAGAGAGAGAGAGAGAGAGAGAGAGAGAGAGAAAGAGAGAGAGAGAGAGAGAGAGAGAGAGAGAGAGAGAGAGAGAGAGAGAAAGAGAGAGAGAGAGAGAGAGAGAGAGAGAGAGAGAGGGAGAGAGAGAGAGGAGGGGCAGGAAGGATGAGAGCAGAAAGTAGAGGGAGGGCCTGAAACTCTCTCTGGTTTGTCCTCAGATGTGGATGAATGCACCTCGGGGCAGAACGCCTGCCACCCAACCGCCCAATGCCACAACACCGTGGGCAGCTATGAGTGCCGCTGCCGCCCTGGCTGGAAGCCGGTTCCTGGGTCCCCCAATGGCCCAAACAACACCGTCTGTGAACAAGGTTTGGAGTTCAGATCCCACATTCCCCTGAATCCACAACTCAAACCACCTGATCACATGTTCACGGGCAGCCACACCATCCCAGCACAATGAATGCTGGGGCACCTGCTGGGCCAGGCTTCCCTTCTCTGAGACTAAATGGGAAGAGATCTGGGTCCTGCAGAAGGAACTGGGGTACCAAGGGGAAGGCTCCTAGGGGACCCCAGGCAGCAGCTAATTACTCACCAGGAGAAAGGTGTTTAATAGCTCACAACCTGTACCTCTGTGTGGGGCTCACCTGCTGTGTGTCAGGCCTCTGCACCCTTCCCATAACCCCTGCATCCCCCATTCAGGGGTGTGTAGACAGCAGGTGTCATCACCTCCAGCCAAGGCGTAGGGGGAAGGGGGTGGGGCACAGAGAGGAGAGGGGCCCAGGGTCCTGAATGACGAGATCGGGCTCGTTCAGGGTGGTATGGCCGTAGACAGGGTCCTGAATGAACAGAGGACTACTCAGTGTGAAGATAGCTGGCCTGACCTAGACCCTGCCTCGAACACACACACACACACACACCTAATGGACTGCCGTTCTCTCCCCTGCAGAGATCCCCTTCCCCACCTGGACCCTGCCCCATGGAATCAAGAGCCAGGTGAGTGACTCCAACCGGACCCGAAGGCAAGGTCCCTCCCCTTCATTCCCCCACACTCCCCCACCCATGTGTGAGGCTTTCTGACCCCTCGTCTCCTCTCTCCCCAGACTCTCTCCAACTTCTTTGAAAAAGCCCAGGAACTGGGCCGAGACTTCAAGCCTGCCTCCCCCCGCGATACCATCCAGGTAAGGACAGGACAGTGTGGGGGTGACTGGAGGATGCTTCAGTGGAGACAGCCCAAGCAGGGCCTCTCAGAGAAACGCCGGTGGCTGGATGCACACTATACGCACACCGATAGGGTGTCCCCCAAAAGTGTATGGACACACCCTGAACGATTATAAAGGCAGTGCTGATTAAAGTATATTTCATTTTCAAAATTGAGCTACCAGCTGTTAACATATGTATACGGTTTTTGTTTGTTTTTTTTAAATATATTTTATTGATTTTTTTACAGAGAGGAAGAGAGATGGATAGAGAGTTAGAAACATCGATGAGAGAGAATCATCCATCAGCTGCCTCTTGCACACCCCCTACTGGGAATGTGCCCGCAACCAAGGTACATGCTCTTGACCGGAATCGAACCCGGGACCTTTCAGTCCGCAGGCCGACGCTCTATCCACTGAGCCAAACCGGTTTCGGCTGTATACGTTTTTGAGGACACCCAGTATACCCCTCTCGCACAAACGGATGTACATACACACCACAATTCCTGGATCCCCCGGTGGCTGGAGCAGGGCCCTCGCGCACACACTCACACTTGAGAGGGATAGAATGGCTACAGAATGGAATCCCCCACACACTGCTGTGACCTGAGGGTCCCCCTCTCGGGGTCTCAGCCTCCTGCTTTATACAGTGGTTGTGAAGGTTTAAATGAACGAAGAGAATAGTTCTCAAAGAACGGTGCCCACTCAGAGTGTGTGTGTGTGTGTGTGTGTGTGTAAATATATATATTAGAGGCCTGGTGCATGAATTCGTGCATGGGTGGGATCCAGTCAGCCTGGCCAGGGGGAGGGACATGGGCGGTTGGCCGGCCTGCCTGCTGGTTGAACTCCCAATCGAGGGGACAATTTGAATATTAGCCTTTTATTATATAGGCTATACACTGAGTGGCCAGGTTATTATGCCTTCAGAGATCATAATAATCTGGTTGCTCGGTGTATATGAGCCTCTTATGTCATTTAAATTTTCCTAGTAGCTTTATTAAAAAAAAAAAAGGAAAAAGAACCCTAGCTGGTTTGGCTCAAAGGATAGAGAGAGCATCAGCCTGTGGACTGAAGGGACCCAGGTTCGACTCAGATCAAGGGCACGTACCCAGGTTGCGGGCTCATCCCCAGTGGGGGGTGGCATGCAGGAGGCAGCCAACCAGTGATTCTCTCTCATCATTGATGTTTCTATCTCTCCCTTCCTCTCTAAAATCATTTAAAAAAAAAATTTTTTTTTTAAATGAACACTAGCCTTGGCCAGGTGCCTCAGTTGGCAGCAGCATTGTTCTCTCCACCAAAAGGCTGCAGGTTCAGTTCCCGGTTGGGGTGTGTACGGGAGGCAACCAATTCATGTTTCTCTCTCCCATAGATGTTTCTCTCCCTCTCCCCCTTCCTTTCTCTCTCAAATCAACAAAAATTAAAAAAAATTAAAAAACACACATCCTTGAGTGAGGATTTTTTTTTTTTTTTTTTTAAGAATTAAAATAGCCGAAACCGGTTTGGCTCAGTGGTAGAGCGTCGGTCTGCGGACTGAAAGGTCCCAGATTCGATTCCGATCAAGGGCATGTACCTTGGTTGCGGGCACATCCCCGGTGGTGGGTGTGCAGGAGGCGGCTGGTCGATGTTTCTCTCTCTTCGATGTTACTGGCTCTCTCCTCCTTTCTGTAAAAAATCAATAAAATGTAAATATAAAAAAAGAATTAAAATAGTAAAAGTAGACAAGTTAATTAATGTGACGATCCCATTCAACCCAAAAAGATTCAGAGCGTTAGCGTTGCAATGTGCTGTCCCACGCGACTCATGGTGACTGTTGCAGACAGTGCAGACTTAGGAGAGGGCCTGGCAGGAAGTCAGTGGCTCATAAACGCTAAGCACCATAGCGGCACATACTCACACCTGTCTTCTGGCAACGGCGGTGTCTAGACTCTAGATGATTCCCCTGTGTCTTGTCTCCCGGGCAACCTGGGGGGTCCGCCAGGGTGTTCCCCAGTGAGGGAGGGATACCAGGGTCCTTTGGGCCGTCCCCGCGGTGCAGGCACCCAGCAGCTGTCACCCATCCCCCCCCAGAAATTCATGGACCGATTGGAAGAGCTGAGACGTCCTGGGGACTTGGAGGGCCTGGCCCTGACTGAGCGGTACCGCGTGGCCACGTTCCTGCTCTCAAACGTTGAAGAATTCCTGAGGACCCTGGCCACGGCCTTGCCTGCAGGCTCCTTCACCCACCATTCCCCTTCGGACAAAGGTGAGGCCTCAGCCTGCCCTGCCCTGGACTCGAACCCTCTCCCCTCAGAGCTGTCCCTGATGATCAAGGAGCAATGGAATGAAACCGACACCCTGGGCCAGACCCAAGCACGAATGAAGCTGAACTGGACTCAGGCAGCTGGAGCCGGGGACTCAGGTAACGCAGGTAGCCGGAGGGGGCGCGTGTGGGAGAGGGGAGCAAGAGCTGGGATATGGCCAAATACGTAACAGCTGGAAACGGAGCCATCCCCCACTGTGAGGGACTCCAGGCATCATGGTGGACTGGCCAGGCCTAACTTAGAAGTCCTGGGAGGGAGGGAGGGAGGGAGGGAGGGAGGGAGGGAGGGAGGCAGGAGAAGGTAGCCAGCGTGTCTGTCCCCCCAGGCCCCACTGTGGCAGGCATATTCTCCAGCCGAGCGATGTGTAAACTGCTGATCAATGCCTCCGTGGAGCTGGAGCCTGAGAAGAAAGCCGAGCTGGAAGACAAATATGAAAGTTCTGTCAAAGGTGCTCACTCCACGGTCCTATCCACCGTCAACACGGTCTTTCTGAGCAACAGGGACACGAAGAAACTGGACCCTCCTGTCATCTTCGCCTTCACCCACGTGGTGAGTCCAGGGCGGGGAGGTGGGACCAGCCCCACGGTGCCCTCTGCAGTCTTCGTTCCCCCACCTCTGCCCATTCTGCTACTTCCTTAAAATGTACCTCGGGGCCTTTGCACTTGCTGTGCTCTCTGGTTCAAATGCCTTTCCCTCACAGGACTCAGTCCTTTACCTGTTTCTAGTCTTGGTTCAAATGCCACCTTCTCTATTAGGCTCTCTCTGACCTCCTTATTTAAAACTAGAGGCCCGGTGTGTGAAATTCATGCACTGTGTGGTGGGGGAGGTGAGTGTCCTCTCAGCCCAGCCTGCATTCTCTCCAATCCAAGACCCCTCAGGGGATAGCCAACTGTTGAGGATTGGGTCTAAACTGGCAGTCGGACATGCCTCTCACAATCTGGGACCACTGGCTCCTAATTGCTCACATGCCTGCCTGTCTGGTCACCCCTAACTGCCCCCCAGCCCCCACTGGCCTGTTCACCCCCAACTGTCCCCCCTCCCCCCGCTGGCCTGGTTTCCCCTGTCTACCCCCCACCCCCAGCCTGATCTCCCTAACTTCCCCCGGTGCTGGCCTGGTCGCCCCTTACTGCCCTCCCTGCTGGCCTGGTTGCGCCCCTCACTGCCCTCCACACCCCCGCCAGCCTGGTCGCCCCACACAGCCTGTTTGGTTGTTCGTTCGGTTGCGATGGTCACTTGGGCTTTTATATGTAGGTTACAATCTGTAATCAGTCATGCCCTGTCTTCCTCCTATCCTGCTTTTCTTTTATTTATTTATTTGTTTATTTTTAAAATATATTTTTATTGATTTTTTACAGAGAGAAAGATAGAGAGAGAGTTAGATGAGATGAGAGAGAGAGACATGGATCAGCTGCCTCTTGCACACCCCCTACCAGGGATGTGCCCGCCACCAAGGTACATGCCCTTGACCGGAATCGAACCCGGGACCTTTCAGTCGGAAGGCCGACGCTCTATCCACTGAGCCAAACTGGTTTCGGCTCTTTTATTATTATTATTTTTTTAATAGCACCTACCACCTTCTAAAACACTATCTAGTTTATTATTTATCTATTAGGTTTATTATTGACTGCCTGTCTCCCCAATAAGCATATCAACCCCCCCGAGGCAGGGATTTGTGTCTGTCCTGTTCACGGCTGTGCCCTGGCCTGGCACACACAGTAGGTGCTCAAGTAAATACTTGTCAACGAAAAGCAGCTTCCTCAGCCCCAGCCCAAGCTCAGACCCCTGGAGTGGACTCTAGGCTCACATCTCTGACCACCCTCACCTGCCCACAGCTGCAAACGCCCAAGTCACATGAGGAGCTCATCTGTGCCTTCTGGAAGGGGAACGCCAGTGGTGGGTCCTGGTCCACCACAGGCTGCAGGAAGCTGGGCAGCAGTGAGAACAGCATCACCTGCGAATGCAGCCACCTGAGCAGTTTTGCCATCCTCATGGCCCACTATGAAGTGGAGGTGAGCAGCCCCAGGGCTACCCTCAACAGCCCACAGATGGCAAGGTTGGCTTAGGTGAGATGAGCAGCTGGTTCTTGATGGTGTGGCCCAACGGGTTATGGTTGCACAGCCCAGGGGGTCCCACAGACAAGCCCCTATGACCTAGCAACTAAATGTGGCCTGACAGGGAGGCCCTACTCCAGCTAGCTGCCCTCTGTCCACCCTGATCCAGTTGACCTAGTCATTAAATATCCCTAAGAGCTGGAGCACAACCTTCTGTATGTGGTCTCAGGTGATCCGTAGATGAACTGGGCCCCGTGGATAACTGGAATGGGCCAGGCAGAGTAGGGGAGGTTGGTGGTCCAGGCAAAGGCCCAGAAGGTGCTAATCTGTAGAATTTGTGAGCTGATAGGTGTGTCCAGGTATGGAAAGGGCGAGAGATGGGATCAGAGAAGGGGACCCATCAGTGTTGGAAAAAGATGTGACAGTCAACACTTCCCTGGGGACCTTTCCCAGAGAGCAGTCTGGGGGCATAGTTGGGATCCTTGCTGTGCCCACAGATGTGTATGTATGTTTGTGTGTGAGGGCGCATTTAGGATGACAGAGACACACAGCAGGCTTGCTCAGACACTGAAGGCAGAAGAAGTGAGTGGAGGTAATCAACCTGATCTGAGTCCTGAGGCCAGGCAGGTCCCAGGTGGGTCTGGCCTGTGGGACCCACGAGGAGAGCAGAAGGCCTCAGGGTGCTGATCAAGCCCCTCCCATTCCATCCTGCCTCTAGGACCCGACCCTGACCCTGATCACCAAACTGGGTCTGGCACTGTCGCTGGTCTGCCTGCTGCTGTGCATCCTCACCTTCCTGCTGGTGCGGCCCATCCAGGGCTCACGCACCACTATGCACCTGCACCTCTGCATCTGCCTCTTCCTGGGCTCTGCCATATTCCTGGCGGGCATAGAGAACCAAGGAGGCCAGGTGAGGCCCCTCCCCACAGTGCCAACTCTCTCACCAGGAAGCGAGGCCAGCTAGGTCCCAGGTCGGAGGAGCCCCGCCCATGCACCAGCTGGCCTCGCCCTGATCCCGCCCACAGCCCCGCCCACAGTCAGACCCCGCCCACCACGAGTGCTCTGGCGGGGAACTGGCCCGTAGGCCCCGCGCTGAAGCTGCCCCGCCCCCACCCCGCAGGTGGGGCTGCGCTGCCGCCTGGTGGCCGGGCTGCTGCACTACTGCTTCCTGGCTGCCTTCTGCTGGATGAGCCTAGAGGGCCTGGAGCTCTACTTCCTGGTGGTGCGTGTATTCCAGGGTCAGGGCCTGAGCAAGCCCTGGCTCTACCTGATCGGCTACGGCGTTCCCTTCCTCATCGTGGCCATCTCTGCGGGCGTCCGGCCCGATGGCTACGGCCGCAAAACCTGGTGAGTGGGGAGTCGTGAGGCCACGGGAGGGCTAGGGGCTGGCCAGGGGGTGGGGCCACAACCTCAGTGCCCCAATCCCCTCCCTTCTCATCCAGCTGCTGGCTGAAACTGGAGCGTGGCTTCCTCTGGAGCTTCGTGGGACCTGTGGCGTTCATCATTTTGGTAACTAATCCCCCACACTCCACCCTTAAGTCCTGTGTCACCTGGCTCCTCACTGAGCCCACTGGGCCAGCTGTCTCCCTGTGAGCCCGAAGGACAACCCCTAACCCAAACTCTGCTCCCCGCCCAGTGCAATGCTGTCATCTTCGTGATCACTGTCTGGAAGCTCACCCAGAAGTTCTCTGAGATCAACCCAGACATGAAGAAATTGAAGAAGAACAGGTGAGGGCAGGGACCGATGTGCGGGGGAATGTGTGGAGGGATGTGTGGGGTGTCCCCTGCTCAGCTTCCCTTCTCCCCCAGGGTGCTGACCATCACGGCCATCGCACAGCTCGTGGTGTTGGGCTGCACGTGGGTCTTCGGCCTGTTCATCTTCGACCCAAGGAACCTGGTGCTGATGTATGCCTTTACCATCCTCAACTGCTTGCAGGGCTTCTTCCTCTTCCTGCTGCACTGCCTGCTCAACAAAAAGGTGGGCCCTGGGTCAGGCTGTGGGGTCCCATCCCCTTCCCCTGCTTCCTGGGCGGCTCCCCTGACCTGGCACCTTGGCCTTGCAGGTGAGGGAGGAGTACCAGAAGTGGGCCCGCATGGTCACTGGGAATAAGTACTCGGACTTTGCCACGTCGACATCCAGCTCCAGCAACAACCAGACCAGGGTAAGGGCCAAGGCTGGGGTGCAATGAGGGCCAGAAGGCAGCCTCGGGCCACCACCAGTCCTCACTGGGTTCCTCTCTCCAGGTCCTCAGGCCGTCGGAGTCTGGCATGTGACTCCGAGGTTTTGGCCAGGCCAGCAGCTCCTGTGGCCGCAGCAGCTTTTGCACATACTGAAGACTGTCCCCTCCTCTCCTACCACCCTGCTCCCTCGTTTCCTGCCCCAGAGAAGGGGCGTCAACAGTTGTTCTCTGGTGCCAAACCAGGAACAGTCAGGGTGGAGTCGGATCTGATGGACCTGCTTCTGGCTGCCTCTGCTGCACCCCAGCTGGGACCCAGGGTGGGCAGGAGCTGGACAGGCTGAGGCCCTTGCCCTGGTACCCAACACCCGGACAGGCAAGGCTCCTAGCCTCCCACTCATCTGTCTTTGCTGCAAAACAAGAGGCCAGCGTGCTCGGGTTCTACCTTCCTGTTAAGCTAAGACTGAGGGCATGGGTGGGAGAAGGGCAGGGCCCCTTCAGGCCCTGCAGCTCACGGTACGAGGCCGGTCTGCCTCCAGGACAGAGGGTTCTCACTGTTCTGAAGTTGTGGATGTTATGTAACGTTGTTGTTTTTTATTTGTTTTTTTTAAATCTGTATAAAGTTTTCTATGTCGACACTGAAGATGCTAGTTCAGGAGGTGGCTTTGCTGGCTGGGCGCTCACTGACCAGGCCCACTATGTCTGTGAAATGTGAAGAGACCAGTAAGAAAGAAATGGGCGGGAGCCAGGCTTCCTTAATAAAAATTTATTCTTACACAAATCTACAGTTTTTGAACAGTAAAAAGACAGCCCCACTGTCGCCTGGGAAAGGCCTGGAAGCAGCACGTGGGAGGCGGGTGGCTCCGGGACGGCAGGTGTGTGGTTACCGGCTCTGCTCAACTGGAAGACAAACGTGCGGAGGTGAGAGAGAGGAGAGGCCGGGCCCCAGCACCACCCTCTGGCCCGAGCCGCTTACTGTATGTGGAGATGTCGATTTCTTCTGGCAGCTCCGCCACGTTCACTTCAAACCTGTCCTGGACGTCGTTGAGGATTTTGGCATCATTCTCGTCAGACACAAAAGTGATAGCCAGGCCTTTGGTGCCAAAGCGACCCGCACGGGCCACCTGCAGGGGGAGAGAGAGGAACTCGGGTCAGGCAGACACACACCCTGGGGATCTGAGGACAAGTCGGGCCAGGTCCCCACCCCAGGGTGACACCTCTGTGGAGCCACTCACCCGGTGGAGGTAGGTGTCCGAGTCCTCAGGCATGTCATAATTGAAGACGATGTTGACTCGCTCAATGTCCATCCCTCGGCCAAAGAGATTGGTGGCCACCAGGATCCGCCGCTGAAAGTCCTTGAACTGCTGATAGCGTGACAGGCTGGGTGCGGGAGAAGCGAGAGGCGGCCGTCAGGACAGGTTCCTGAGCAGCTCTCCCCCTGGGAGGCCCACCTCGGCCTTCGTGGTGGCACATACTCACCGCTCCTCCTGGGCCATGCCCCTGTGGATGGCGATGGCCGGGAAGTTCTGCTCCACCAGCAGCTGGGCCAGGGCCATGCAGCGCTGCACCGACTTCACGAAGATCACCACCTGCCGGAGGAAGGCAGCAGTCAGGCCCAGTCCCCACGCACGGTCCTTCCCGAGGCCCACGACCCCTCCGAGGGCAACCGCAGCGTCACCTGGTTAAACTCTAGCACGTCCAGGAGGTCGAACAGTTTGCGGTTCTTTTCGCTGTCTTTGAGCTTGACATAGTACTGCTGCAGTCCATGCAGTGTGAGCTTGGTCTCGTCGTCCACAAACACCTCCATGGGCTGAGGGGAGGGAGCAGGAAGAGGTAGGCAGGGCTTACTTCTGGGCGTCCCACTTGCCCAGAACCTTCCAGGAACGACTCCATGCTGCGATGCTTCCCAGAGAGGCTGCTGTACTCGGTGCACGTTTCTCTCCCAGCAGCTGGATCTAAGCTCTGGTCTGATTCACGCGTGGACCAAGCTCAGCTCCCGATCCGAGACAGCGAGGAGGGAAGGAGGGCTCCACAAGCATCGCTGTGCCTGAGGGCAGCATGGCGGCGTTCCGCAGCAGTGGCTCGGCCTCAGGACCCGGGAGGGCCACGCTGCTGCCCGAGGTCTTGGCGTACTCACGTCTTGCATGAACTTCCTGCAGACGGGCCGGATGTCCTTGCTCAGGGTGGCACTGAACATCATGCACTGCTTCTCGTGTGGCGTCAGGCGGAAGATCTCCTGTACATCCCGCCGCATGTCTGGGGGGGAGGGCGAGAAACAGGTGGGCATGAGTGCCTGCCAGACCTGGACTCCCGCCCGAGACCGTCCCAGCCCCTCCCAACCTGGCACCAAGATGAGGGCGGTGTGAGCAAGGAGTGGAGGGAGGGGTGAGCCCCGATGCCTGTGGGGCTGGTCGTGGGGTGAGCGCAGGCCCAGGAGGAGCTGCAATCCACTTACACGCTGCCAGAGCGGAGCAGCCGTGCCAGGGCACCTCCAGCCATGCTTCAGGGAAGGGAGCCTGAGGCAGAGACAGCTGCTGGGGTGAGAGCTGCAGCTGCCTCCCAGGACACAAGCCCCATCTCTGACTGGCCCTGCCAGGGCTCACTGAAGGCAGGCAGGCGTCTAGAGCTAACCCGGCTAACGTTTGTGTGTGTGGACAGCGGTTCATTTAGGCCCCGTGGTCCCCCTCAGCTTGGGGTCAGAAGTAGCAGGTCACATTAGGTCAAAACAAGAACTTGCCCTAAAATCGCTTACAGGAGACCAGCCGGCCGCCCACGTGACCCCTTTGGGAAACCCCTGGGCCTGGCCTGTCAGGTCCACCTGGCTCCGGAGGCTGTGAGGGTGGAAGTGTGCTGGCTGGGTCCCTGGCAGCCCCCACGGGCCCGCAAGGACACTCACCCAGCTGCTCCAGCATCTTGTCGCACTCGTCCAGCACGAAGTGCTTCACGTTTCTCAGGTTGAGGCTCCTGTTCCGCACGAGCGCCAAGATGCGGCCCGGAGTCCCCACCACGACATGGGGACAGTTCTTCTTCAGCACCTCTTCGTCCTTCTTGATGGAAAGACCCCCGAAGAACACGGACACCTATGCAGGGGGAGAGAAAGTCACTTCTGCCCATCTAGGGGCCGAAGCCTCGCACCCAGCCCGTGGCTCTGCCAACTCAGGGCGCAGCAGACCTCAATTCCCCAAGCCCGGAGAGGCCCGAGAGCCCGGGCTCAGCGCCACTGAGGGCAGCCCAGGGCTGGGACCGGCACAGCCTCTGGGGCCATGCATAATTCATCAGGCTTTTAAGGAGCATAAACTACCGCAAACCTCAAAGGCGGCTGCTGCAGCCAAGCTTGGTAAATGCTGGCTGGGTCAGAGCTGGGGCCGGCCAGGCTGCAGAGGACTACATGGCGCCGAGCCTGGCTCAGGGGGGCTCACCTTGACACTGGGCATGTACTTGGAGAAGCGCTCATACTCCTTGCTGATCTGAAAGGCCAGCTCCCGAGTGTGGCACATGACCAGGACAGTCACCTGTTGAGTAGGCAAGAGTGAGTCACTCAAGACAGTACCCTACATGCTCCCCAGCTAGAGCCCACCTGGCTCTCTAGCTATACTGGGGTCTTCTGCAACCACATCATGACCCCACTCAACCTCCCTCCTTCACCATGTACCCACATGCAGCAGCACATGGATGTTGCCCACCCACCTGTCCATTGACGGGCTCGATCTGCTGTAGGGTGGCCAGCACGAAGACTGCAGTCTTGCCCATTCCAGACTTGGCCTGGCATAGGACATCCATGCCCAGGATGGCTTGGGGAATACACTCGTGCTGAACTGTAGGAAAAAGAGCCCATGAGTGACTGGAAACTGTGTTGGCCCTCTGTGTGGGCTGTCAGCAGAGGGGTGTGGTAGGGAGGGGTGTGGTAGGGAGGGGTGTGGTGGGGAGGAGCAGGGAGGCATACCCTCAGATGGATGCTCAAAGCCACAGTCCACTATGGCCCTCAGGAGCTCAGGCTTCAGCAGAAAGTCCCGGAAGCCAGAGCTGTGGATGGAAACGTAGGACCCCTTGACATCTTTCTTGGGGGGCACTGGGGTGCTCTCTGTAGGAGCCTGGGGCTCTTCATCTTCCTCATAATCCAGAAGCTCGTTTTCCACATCTTGTTCCGCCATAATACTGAAAACAGAAGAGGGAGGAAGGGCCCAGGGAAGCAACTGAGATGCATGCAGCAAAACCCACCAGCCAGGGAGAAGGCGACCCAGCAGCTGCGGGCTGTGCACACAGGAGCAAGGACAATGCACTGGGGCCTGGAAAGCCACCAGCTGGCGAAGCTGAGACAGGACAGCATTGCCCACATTGACTCCAGCAGCACCTCCCATCAGCTCCGTATGTGCAGCGTCGCCCAGCTCCAGCCTGTTGCTGTGGCCACATCTCTAACCACTCTCCAAACCCTCAGCTCTCCCTGTCAGCCAGACCTCCTCAAAGTGGTATTCCAATTCCTCCCCATGACCCTCATGACCCTCTCCTTGGCCCATCAACCTCATTCCATGCCACCCCTTTCAAATCACCCAGCCTTGCTTGGCTGCTCAGACTGCAGTCTCTACCCCAAGCTCTTATAACCCCCAGATGCCACCAGAATGAGCTTCTCCCAGATCTTTGCACAAATGCTCCTTCTCAGCATGCTGGTCTCAGTTCTAATGAACTGCCTGAGACTACCTAGTCCCGTGGTTGGTGTAAACACATGCGGCTCTTTGGCCCCTTGAGTGTGGCTCTTCCACAAAATACCACGGCCTGGGCAAGACTATTTTGAAGAAGTGGCGTTAGACAAAGTTTAAGTTTAAAATTTCTCAAAAGAAATTTCAATCGTTGTACTGTTGATATTTGGCTCTATTGACTACTGAGTTTGCCGACCACTGACCTAGCCTAAAGGAACTCTGTCCCTATCATGGCAATCAACCAAAGGGAATCTACCCGCCTGCAGAGACCTGAGTGTGTGCGCGGCAGCATCCGCCCAGCCCCAGCGCCTCCTGCTCTGTGGTCAGCACTGGGGAATAATTAAGTGCTCTCATGAAAAGGCCTCCCATTGGGCCTGGGCCAATAACAATGAAGCTGAGATGGGAAATGGAATTAATACAAAGCCAGCTCACATCCTGGCTTTATGTAATCCAAAATACACAGAGCACCCACTGGGTGTCCAGATGTCCTACAGGAACCCAGCCTGACAACGCTGTCTCTTGTCACTCCTGCCCCACCAGCCTCCAATCTACGGAGTGGAAGTATTGAAGGAGCCCCCCCTCCTAGCTGGGTGCAGAGAGTCCTAGGGCCAGTTTATGGCCATCCTGTCACTCATCCTCTCCATGGCTCTGTGGCCCAGGGTTCCCACCACCTCCGTGCCGAGGCCTCTCAAACTTGTGTCTCTAACAGGAATGACTCTCAACTTCAACCTCAGTTACAGGCACCTCTTCCACACTTCCTTCTGTAAGTTGAACTCAAAACGCCCAGAGCAAAACCCCTCCATTTCTCCCACAGGTTGTGTCTCCATCTCAGAATAGGCGATTCCATTCTCTCTCACATTCTTGTCCCATCAGCAACAAATTCACCCTCACGAAAAGCCAGCCAGTTCTCACCCCTGCTACCTGGCAGGTCCCCAGTTGCCATTACCTTTCCTTTTAAAATTAGAACAGCTTTGAGATATACACATCTACACCCTTTAAAGTGTACAATTCAATGGTTTTTAGTGTAATCACAGATACATACAACCATCACATCAGTTTTAGAACATTTCACCACCTAGAACAGACCCCATACCCTTTAGCTATGCCATCCTATGCCCACACCCCCTTTGGCAACCACTAGCCTTTCTCTTCTATGAATATGCCTATTTTGGACATTTCATGTAATAGAACCATGTAATATATGGTCCTTTTATCTGGCTTCTTTCATGCAGCATGTTTTCAAGACTTGTCCATGTTGTAGCATGAATCAGTATTGCCTTCTTTTTCATGTCTGAATATTCCATCGTGCAGGAACCCAGCACCAATTTATCCATCAGTTGATGGGAACCTGGGTACCTAAATTATGTCAACAGACCCCTCACTGGTCTCCCTGTTTTCTATCCCCCATGATCCTCCATCCACTCTCCCACAGCAGCTAAAAGGAGCCTACAGAAGCTAAGTCAGAGAATGTCACTCCTGCTCAAAACCCTGCCAGGCCCTATATCCCCTGTGCTCAGACCTCATCCTGCCCGCTGCCCGCCCTCACTGGCCTTGGCTGCTGGGCCTCACACCTTTGCACTGGTCCTGCTGCCTGGAACGGCCACTTCCCTCAGGCATGTTGCTCCAGAAAGACATGTCCTGCTGGCTCCCATCTAAAAAGCACCCCTCAACTCAGGCCAGCCCCTCAGCCAAGAGCCTCGGTCAGAACTTGGCATGCATCAAGTCAGCACTCAACACCAATGGCTAAGTAGATGGAACTAAAATCAAGGCCTCAGTGTAGAGGCTACAATGAACATGTATTGTTCTGTGACTTTTGAAAAAGGTCGTCTGATACCAGCCCTGAGGACTGACTGGCAAAGGCAGGAAGGGGTTGTGTCCCAGGCAGCAGGGAGAACAGGAGAAATGTTCCGTCCCCAGAGGACCGGACCCTTTAGGGGAAGGAGTAGGACTGGCTGGTTGAGAAAGAGGCAGAAGACTAAGGTGGAAGAGCCATCAGGTCCAGGGCATTTGTACTGGGGAATCTGATTAAGTTTTAGATTTGAGTGACCCTGTCAGTCTTTGCCCTTCATTTGCCCAAGAGCGAGTTACCAGGAGTAGGAATTGGGGATGAGACCATCCTCACGGAGGGAAAGAGGATTAACCAAGCCAGGAAAGAGGATTTGTTAGGTAGGGGGGAAAGGTGGACTCCTCACTCTAATAGAAGGGATCATGGCAGCAAATGCTCTTAGCTGACCAAGAGGTGATTTAAAAAAATAGTGTCCCCAAGGGCGTGGCTCAGTGGCTGAGCATCGAATCAGGAGGCCACCATTCAATTCCCCACGGGACACACGCCCTGGTTGCAAGCTCCATCCCCAATGTGGGGCGTGCAGGAGGAAGCCCATCAATGATTTCCTCTCATCACGGATGCTCCTATCTCTCCTTTCCTCTCTGAAATCCATAAAATGTATTTTTAAAAAGTAAAGGAATAAAGAGGTTTTTGAAGGGTAGACAGATTTGGAGACATAATGAGCTTTAGGCACACATTTTTCTAAAAAGTGGCTAGCCAGGATCAAAACAAAGCCCAAAATAAAGGAGATCAGGAGAGGCTCTGGGGAGACTCGTCCTGCCCAGAGGGTGTGACAGGGGCGGCTTGGGGCCCGGAGCGGATGTGCTCGCAGTCGACACAAGAACCCTTTCACCCTCAAACCCCAGGAAGGATATCCACCTCGGTTTTCTCCCTACTTGGACATCCCCCCTGGCCTAAACGGAGAGCAAGAACAGAGCGGAGTAGGGGAGGGGGAAGATCCTCAACTTGGAGAACCCCATCCCATCTACAAACTCCGGTCTCTCCCATCGCGATCCCAAACCTCTGCGTCGCCCTCCGAACTCTTCCCCCCCAAACAGTCCCGGGACGCCTCCAGGCCTCCTCCGACAAGGTAGCTCCCTCCCCTAATAGAGCTCGTCCCGCGCGGTGCCATGACAGCACCTCCCGGAAACGGCTCCCGCGCCCCGCATCCCGCGCGCCAACTGCCGCCCCGCCCCCGGCGCATGCGCCCCGGCCTCCAACGGCCGCACCCCGCGCGCGGGGGCGCCCCAACCGGCCCGCCCCACCTGGTCTCGCGCCCCCTCTTCCTTCCCCCCTCAATCCCCAGCGTCTCCCCGCGCCCGATCGCCCGCACGCCCGAGGTCCCCGCACCGGCGCCCCGCGCCCCGGACCTGCCGCTCACCTGGTTCCCCGTTCGCCTCCGCGCGCTCCGACAGTCGACTTGCCACGGATGCCCGTCCCGCGCCCCGACTCAAGCTGCAGCGCTTCCGGCTTCCTGCGTTGGACTTAGTGTCTGCTCACTGGGCCGCTGGCTTTTCAATCTAGAAAGGCGGGAGCTCTCGGAGGCGATTGGTGGAGAGGAAAGAGGGCGTGCCTCTTTGCCTCACGCTCATTGGTCGATCGAAAAATAGGCGCCCGAGTGGGTTGGGCCGGTGTCTGCCTACCTCCTGTCACGTGATCGGGGTTGGGCCTAAGTCAAACTGATGAGCTATTCGGGAGAGCGAGGTCTCAAATGTGTGCCCGGTTCGGCAGCGCATATACTAAAATTGGAACGATACAGAGAAGATTAGCATGGCCCCTGCGCAAGGATGACACGCAAATTCGTGAAGAGTTCCATATTTTTTTTAAAAATCTCAAATATTCCAGAGATAACAGTTTTTTAGCTTATTTTATGCATTTGGAATTAAGTAGGGAACTAAGGAAGATTACGTGAAGATGGAAGGACTAGATAATCGGATAATCAATGTGAGGACTAGATAACAGGATTTAATCTAGATAACTAGATTACTTACTCATGCTTTTTAAAAAAAACAATTTTACTTTATTAATATTTTATATATTTTTATTGATTTCAGAAAGGAAGAGAAAGAGAGCTAAAAACATGAATGATGAGAGAGAATCATTAATAGACCGCCTTCTACACGCCCCCAACTGGGATCAAGCCTATAACCTGGCATGTGCCCTTGACTGGACCCTCAGTCCAAAAGCCAACACTGTCCACTGAGCCAAACCAGCTAGGACTGCTCTCCCATTTTAGAAGGTAGGGTCTGAAAGGGTGGTTAGGTATTAGAAGAAGGGATCCGAAAGAGGGCATTTTTAAAGGCTTGTTAACCTAAATGCACAGAAACAGTGGAGAGGCTTGTGTAAGGAAAAGAAAAAGTTTTTACTAAAGAAGTTATGGGCCGAAACCGGTTTGGTTCAGTGGATAGAGCGTAAGCCTGTGGACTGAAAGGGCCTGGGTTCAATTCTAGTCAAAAGCATGTACCTTGGCCAAAACCGGTTTGGCTCAGTGGATAGAGTATAGGCCTGCGGACTGAAGGGCACGTACCTTGGTTGCGGGCACATCCCCAGTGGGGGGTGTGCAAGAGGCAGCTGATGGATGATTCTCATCAATGTTTCTAACTCTCTATTCCTCTCTCTTCCTCTCTGTAAAAAATCAATAAAATATATTATTTTTTTTAAAAAAGTTGTGGGCCTGGTGCATGTCTACACACCATGCATGACCTGCCCAGTTAGGATTTAATGATCAGATCACCCTATGAGGTTACTTTGCATAGAATCAATCTCTCTCTCTCTCTCTCTCTCTCTCTCTCTCTCTCGGTCTGCATATAAATAATTTATTTTTAAGGTTGTAATATGTGGCAGGATAATCCTTTAGGTGCAGGGACAACCTTCCAACCAATTGAGCCACACCAGCCAGGGCTTAAAATTTTGATATTTTGTTTATCATAGATTTGAAACCATTTTTATTTTGCCCTGGGAATGTTTCTCTCTCCCTCTCCCTTCCTCTCTAAAATAAATGAAAACAGTCCTAGCCAGTTTGGCTCAATGGATAGAACATTGGCCTGAAGACAGAAGGGCCGTGTAGGAGGCAACCAATTGATGTGTTTCTCTCACATCAATATTTCTGTCTCACCGAAACCGGTTTGGCTCAGTGGTGGAGCATCGGTCTGCAGACTGAAGGGCTCCTGGTTCGATTCCAGTTGGGGCATGTACAGTGGTTGTGGGCACATCCCCTGTAGGGGGTGTGCAATAGGCAGCTGGTCGATGTTTTTCTCTCATGGACGTTTCTGGCTCTCTATCTCTCTCCCTTCCTCTCTGTACAAAATCAATAAAATATTATACATACATACATATATATATATATATATATATATATATATATATTCCTTTGTCTTTTCTTCTCTCTTCCACTTTCTCTAAAAACCAATGGGGAAATATCCGCAGGTAAGGATTTAAGATAAAGAAATAAAATCAATAAAAACATATTTTTTTTAAAAAAAAATTAAGTAGATGTGCCTGGCGTGGCTCAGTGGTTGAGCGTCAGACTATGAACCAGGAGGTCATGGGTCCATTTCCAGTCAGGGCCCATACCCAGGTTGCACCACAATCCCCAGTGTGGCATGTACAGGAGACAACCAATCGATGATTCTCTCTCATCATTGATGTTTTTATTTCTCTCTCCTTCTCCCTTCCTCTCTGAAATCAATAAAAATATATTTAGCTGAAACCAATTTGGCTCAGTGGATAGAGCGTCGGCTTGCGGACTGAAGGGTCCCAGGTTTGATTCCAGTCAAGGGCATGTACCTTGGTTGCGGGCACATCCCCAGTAGGGGGTGTGCGAGAGGCAGCTAACCAATGATTCTCTCTCATCGATGTTTCTAACTATCTCTCTCCTTTCCTCTCTGTACAAAATCAATAAAATATATATTTTTTAAAACAAACAAAAACCTGGAGCACTAAAAAGAAAATGAAAAGTATTTTAATCAACATTGACTTTATAATTATTCAAAATGTGTGTATACATTTTTGGGGAGATATATATATATATATACACATATACATACACACATACAGATTGAATCTGAACCCCACAAAGAGGTGTGCAATTCAGCATATTCATTATCAGGTGGGTGGCCTGAGGTCCAGAGAGGGTTAATCCCAGGCCCAAGGTCTCAAGGTGACCAGGGATCCAAGCATAGGCCATCTCCCTCCATTAGATTTGGCCAGCATCCTCTGAAGAAATAGAGAGAGAGAGAGAGAGACCAAAACCCTGGAGAAAACCATTCCCCGGGGAAAGAGGAGGTGCCCCAGGAAAGCAGGTGGGAGGCGAGCTTGGGAGTAATTAGATCTGAGATGAGTTGTCATGGAGGCTGCTGAAGCCAGCTGAGTCCTGTTGCGAAGTCTGGGAAAACACTCCAGCACACCCATCCATGCAAACTGGGGAGCTTCTATTAAAAACAAACAAATGTCCCCTCCCCCCAAAAAAACAAAACAAAACACTTTATAGCCAGAAAAGGAAAAGATCAGAGCCTCCTAAAGTACACCCACCACCCAACCACCTAAGATTAACAAACATGAACATTTTTCATATTGGCTTGATCAATTCAGAATTATTCTAAGATATAAAAGATTTAAAACACACCCGCCCAAATGGCTAAAAGGACTGACAGTGCCAGGGGCTGGACAGGCTCTGGTGAACATGTAAAACAAGAGTCACTCTGGAGCTGAAACCCATTTGGCTCAGTGGATAGAGCATCGACCTGCAGACTGAAAGGTCTCAGGTTCGATTCCTGTCAAGAGCATGTACCTTGGTTGTGGGCACATCCCCGGTGGGGGGCGTGCAGGAGGCAGCTGGTTGATGTTTCTCTCTCATCGATGTTTCTAACTATCTATTTCCCTCTATAAAAAATCAATAAAATATATATATTTTTTAAAAAGTCACTCTGGAAACGATTGGCAGTTTATAGGAAAGTTGACCAGATTTCTCAACCTCAGCACTCCTGCTATGTGGGCCAGGTCATTTGTGGTGGTTGGGGGTGGTGGAGGGGGGTCCCATTGTAGGGTGTTCGGCAGTATTCCTGGTCATGACCAGTAGATGCGTAGCAATCCCTCCACCTCCAGTGTTTACAACCCCAAATCTCTCATATCTCCTGACATTGCTAATGTCCTCCCTGGGGAGAAGACCAAAATCACCGCAGATGAGGCCCACTGGGTTAAACAGGATGGAGTAATCCTCTTAGGTAGAGATCTAACAGTACCTGAAATATTTTTTGCCCACAGAGAGATAATAAGCAGTGAACACTGTTTATGCATAACAGCCCCAAACCGCACAAAACCCAATGTCCATCAACAAGTGAATGAAGAAACTGTGATCCATCTACGCCAGGGTGGGGAATCTTTTTTTTTCTACCAAGGGCCATTGGGAAGTTTATAACATCATTCTCGGGCCATATGAAATTCTCAACTTAAAAATTAGCCTGATCCCCAGTGTGGGGTGTGAGGAGGCAGCCCATCAATAATTCTCTCTTATCATCGATGTTTCTATCTCTATCTCCCTTCCTTTCTGAAATCAATAAAAAAATATATTTTTTTAAAAATAGCTTGCGCCGAAACCGGTTTGACTCAGTGGACAGAGCGCCAGCCTGCGAACTGAAAGGTCCCAGGTTCGATTCCGGTCAGGGGCATGTACCTTGGTTGTGGACACATCCCTGGTGGGGAATGTGCAGGAGGCAGCTGATCGATGTTTATCTCTCATCAATGTTTCTAACTTTCTATCCCTCTCCCTTCCTCTCTGTAAAAATCAATAAAATATATTTTAAAAAATAGCTTGCTATATTTGGTCAACGATTTTTTAAATATATATATATATTTTTTATTGATTTTTTTACAGAGAGGAAGAGAGAGGGATAGAGTTAGAAACATTGATGAGAGAGAATCATTGACCAGCTGCCTCTTGCACAACCGCCACCGGGGATGTGCCTGCAACCAAGGTGCATGCCCTTGACCAGAATCGAAACTGGGACCTTTCAGTCCGCAAGCCGATGCTCTGTCCACTGAGCCAAACCCGTTTCGGCTGGTCAACTACTTAATTAACTCATCTGTAATGCCTTGTTAGGGCCAGACCCAATGATTTCTCAGGCCTTATATGGTCGTTGGGCCAGATGTTCCCCAACCCCATCTCCACCATGGAATACCACCACAGATAAAAAAGAATGAGCTTTTGAGACACATGCTATTATGGATGAATGTCAAAACATGTTTGTTGTGACTATGCTAATGTGTGGTAAATGGGAACACGGGCCCCTTCCCATGCTATACCCCGTGGGAAACAGAGTGAAGGCCATCGGTAAGTGGACTATGAGACCTTGGGAGCCTAGCCAACTCCTCAGTCAAAACAGCTAGCAGCAAAAAAAATAAAAATAAAAATAAAAAACAGCTAGCAGTTCTGACCTCCACAGCTTGCTGGGAAACACATCCCCCTCCCCTGCATGCCCTGTTTTCTGTTTTCTGTACTCTCTGAAACCTTGCACTGGGAAAACACCGGAGGCCATCCGAGCCCCC